TGGTTTTTTTCAAGGAAAAAAACCAAAATTTGAGATTTCTCAGACAAAATTTATTTCGGCGCCTCCATTTTACATACATTACGGAGGTTCGAAAAATAAATTTTGTCTGAGAAATCTCAAATTTCGGTTTTTTTTTTCAAGGAAAAAAAATTGGGCGTAGCGAATATCTAAACCTTCCTTCCGTGTGTGTATAACAGTCAATTTTATTTTTTCATATGTATGCACGTCAATCTGAAATACCTATGTATATTCAGTAATATTCATTATGTGGTTCACGATATGCGTATGGATATGAAAGATAAGGAAATTATTTTCTTCCCTAGCTTGGGGTCAAAATAGCATGAAGTTGGACACATGATGTGCCAATACGAGTGAAGTTGTCCCAAAATATGGATGGATTATCATTTCGACCGAAAAAGAGCCATCTATTGGCAATTTACAATATCTGTGAGTGTTGTAAGCAAAAGTGAACACTTGATACGCACTTTCCATGTAGAAAGATTTATGACTAATACCAGTGCCAGGCTCGTTAGCATAACTGCGTTCAGATTTATGCACTACATTTTCTACACATTCGTCAATGATTTCAAATTTGGCGTGAACAAAATTTCGTTGGTATAGTTCTTCAATGGTTCTTGTTGTAATGCATGTGTGTATAGTTTTTTCTATGAAAATTTTATCAAAGAATATATACAGGTTCTCGCGTTTTTTACATAGCACTTTCTCCAATAGCGCCCTTCATTCGATATAAATATATACATCCTCGTCTAATACCATTGATTTTACATGTAAAATAACAACAAGAAACGACAAAAGTGACCTCTTGTAGCGGCACAGTTGAAACTAACAAAACAAACAAAATTGAACATGTCATTCAGTGTTGGTTCTGTTGTTTGCCGTATAGCCGAAGAGAGATGTCTACAGCTTAGTGGCGTTGGATGACATTCAACACCCATGAATATATATAATTTGAGGGAGGCGTAAGCTAATTTATCTCAAAACCAATTTGTTCATTTCACGCGATGGCGCAAAAATCAGCACATTGGAACCAGTTTAATAATAAATTATTTCTTCTCCACAAAAGTGAATATAAAAACAATTTGATTTACACATTTAAAAATGGATTTCAAATTGTGATTTTCGCACAACACACGATAATTAAACCGAAAGCTTGAAAGAAATTTTACTGTTTGGAAATGGAAATGCCATTTGGTTTAGGATAATACATTTATAGTCTGTTTTTATTCACAATTGGTGGGGCCTACATCATACACTTACACATTCGAGTTTATATACAAAAAATGAGTCGTTTTTATGGCTAACTGTTATTGAATTCATTTCAATTTTGGTTGATATTGCAATTGCATGTAAATTAAACAAAAATTTGTGTGTGGTTCTGAGGATTTAGATTTTCGATGCAACCGTGTTATGTATAAGGTCAGATATGGTATAGTAGGAGAAGAAAAACAATAAAGAAACAAACTTGTATAAACATCCCAAGCGCGACTCCACATTTAGCTTCTAAATGTGACACCGTAGTAAGTGTGGGCATAGGTTTTGCGAATAAGCGACAAAGAGAATGGAAACAAGTGCGCGTGTATTAGTCGCTACATTGAGAAGCATCGTATCAGGCTACTCACTATCACACACGCACTTGTTTCCATTCTCTTTGTCGCTTATTCGCAAAACGTATGCCCACACTTACTACGGTGTCACATTTAGAAGCTAAGTGTGGAGTCGCGCTTGGGATGACTCTTTTGGGATTTATATATTTGTGAATTGATGCAAAATTCGTAAAAATTAATGATAAATCTGGATAAACATTCACACTAGTATTCGCACCTTCGTGCGCACACATTCAAACATGATGTACATGGAATTTTGTACATTTATAAGTGTGACGGTGCAAATACTAACATTAATTTTTTATAGAAGCATGGCAAACATAAAACGCATTCGCATTAAACATCCGCAGCATTCCGCGAAATATATGTCCCCTACTGGCACAGTCATCACTAGGTGTATAGTGTGTGGTAACTATATATTTATACAAAGAACACTCAACGTCTACATGATGCTATCACTCATCACTTATATGAATGGGAGCTGCCATAATCTACCCGAAAAATTTCAATAGCACTCAATAAGTGAATAAATTTATTTCGCCCCTTTTCCGCTACAAGAAAACTTCGAATTTCTGTTTTTTTTTCAATTGTTTCCCCAAAAAAACGCAATTCTATTTGTGATTATCGTCCGGTGCTAGTCCGAATGATGTTGCATAACTAGCGCCATAACTTCAGATATCGGCAAAGTGTCGGAACTATTGTGTACGTGTACATCGTATGATTGTATTGTGTCATCTGAAGCATAGTAGAGCATGACACAAGCAAGGCAGAAGACAGCAAACAACGTGCTGCGCTGCTTTGCAACAACATTCTTGTATACACAGGCACAATCGGGCATAATATATGGCACAATCGGGGAAAAATCGGAAATTCCCGATATTTTAACTTGCTTCCCGACTCCAGACTTCTTGTATACTTTCCTACCTATTTTCCCGATATTTTTATGTTCATGAATTATGTATCTTTTTCTATAAAAAAATATATGTACATTGAATATGATCGACTTCGTATTTTGGCGAACAAGTGAACAATAGTTTTTCGAAATCGATTTTTTTGATTACACAATAGTAGTCTGACCTGACTGTAAGAAGAATTCGTTCAATGGCTTTGATTAGGTCCAATTGCAATCAATATTGCTTGGAATTTTTCAATGCAATCAAAAAGAATTCATTCGTTGCTGTGAGTTGAGTGAGTGGTTTGGTGTGCGTGTTGGAACAAAATGCATACTCTTCGTTAGTCTTTCTCTTTTTGTGTGCGGTTGACTCAAACCACTCACTCGACGGTTCACTCACAGTAACGAACGTTAGACCAAGTACACACAAAACGATGCATTCTCACCAAAGGAGTTCTCAGCATTTTAGATATATCCATGCATAGATATGGCAGCATGCTGAACCGATTCTCTGTCTACTACTGAATGATCAATTCATTGAATCTACACACACGGTAAAATGTCTTTGTTTCTTAGTGTTAGTGATTTTGTTTCTTGAATCTATACAATAGTTCTTTTACTACTACGAAGAATTTTTTTCGTTGAAAAAAAAACTTTGGTTGTGTTGGTACGAAATTTGACAGTGACAGAATTTTTTTGCGGGGAATTCTTCGTAGTAGTAAAAGAACTATTGTATAGATTCAAGAAACAAAATCACTAACACTAAGAAACAAAGACATTTTACCGTGTGTGTACCGATGATAAATGTTAATTTTTGCTTATTTCATTTGATCCAAATTTTTTTTTATTTCCCCAATTCCCGGTTTTTTTTTCACTAAAATTCCGGATGTCCGCGATAAATTTCCCGACATTTCTTGGTTTCTTAAAGCTTAAACCCGAAAGGACAATCCCAAATTTTTACGAATAAATTCCCGATTTTTGCATAAATCCCAATGCGGGGTCTACATATATTGGAAAACTGTATGAACCTCAGAGTTACTTATGTATGAAGTTTCCGAAATTGAATAAACCACAGAACCCAATGGTTGGGCCCATCAACATAGGCCAAAACAATGGTGAGCTTCGTGTACTAGTGCATTTAATATAGCTAGCTTATTTTGGAAATTGTTTCTTTTTCAGCTTGAGGCTTATCAAACATAATACCAAACGAACCAATCACTCGGTGTTATTCGTGAATTTGGATTAAATCAATCAAACAAATGTAAAAGTTAGCTTTCGAACTGAACAACGGCTGAAGTGTTTGATTACACAATGCTCAGATGCCTCATCGATTTCTTATGAAAATATTCGTTTGTATAGTTATATTTCTTCTAATAGATCTAAAAGCTTACCGCCTAAAGTCTCGGCTCCAGCATGCATATATTACAGGATTCATACTAGAATTGATCCAACCAAGCCATGTTACCACTGCCGACACGATTTCCTCATGCTCAATGCATTGTATACAGAATCCAGAAAGCAAATTGACGACGAAAAAGGGGAGCCAGCATACGATGAAAACACCCATTACAATGCCGAGCGTTTTTGCCGCTTTCTTTTCTTTCGCGAACTTTGCCAATTTTCGAGAGAGTGAGAAATTTTTTCCTATGTTTTGCTGTCGATAACGGCCACCTGCTATTGCGTATCATGTCGCACCAAAGAATTCCATTGAAAAATGTAAATCAGAACACAATCCAAGCAAATGCTAAAATGTGCACTTTTTGCGAAACGAAATCAGTTTAAATCAAAAGCATATACAATCGCTTGTTTTAAACATACGTTTGTTTCAGTTTTCGGTTGAATTTCCGAAAAACTAAAACCACGTTCACTCTTTTTTTGCATATATTCTGCAATCGAAAATACAGTGATTTGAAAAACAGTATGCTCCTTACGTTCGAGGATATTCAGTAAAAGGGATGTGTAGTAAAATGCTCTTGATTTAAGCTTATTCCATTTCACTGAAGCCACGGTGCATGTGTATGCTCTTTAACAGTCGAACTATTGATGTGAGCTAATGTGGTCATACCGTGTAATCCATTATTTTGTAAAGCTGAAAGAGGTTCCTCTTCAGGCTCTTCAGGCGTTGACGTTGCTGTGGCTGAATGTGAATGATGGTGCTGATGGTGACCTTCGCGAGTTGTACCACCCCGATGAATACGTAACTGCAGTTCACCCGAAGCCATTAGAACCTGCTTTGTCCCTAGCTTTAACGATCTTGTTTGTACAACGGCTGCTCGGTAAATGCGACAATACGTGAATACCATCACCAGCAACGGCAGATAAAAAGAAATAGTCGACGAAAATACTAAGTATCCTAAGTGTTCAGTGAATGTGCATTTATACGGGGGCATTCCGTTTTCACGCGCCGCTCTCCACCACACAATCGCAGGAAAACTTATCGCCCCGGAACATACCCAAACAGCCGCTATGAGAGCGGCGGCACGTTTCCGTGTCATCCGCATCGGATAACTAAATGGGTCGGTTATAGCCCAATATCGATCCAGCGAAATTACGCACAAATTGAGAATAGAAGCTGTGCTAAATAAAACATCGAGCGAGCGCCAAATATCGCACCAATCTGTCCCAAAAAACCACGTGTTTTCCAGTACTTCGTATAGTGCTGAAAATGGCATTACCACCAAACCCACTAGGCAATCAGCTACCGCTAGGCTGGTCACAAACAAATTGGTGGACGTGTGCAAGTATCGTTCCCGTATAACCGCTAGTATGACTAATGAATTACCGAATACCGTAGCGAACGAAAATAAAAATAGAAATGCTAATAAGCCGAGTCGATCATTCTCCAGGCGTTCTAAATACACGGAAAAGTTTGGTTCGATTGTACAACAGGTAGCCTCGACTAAATAAATATTATCCGTTGTATTGAATAATGATCTATTATCCAGTGTAAATAATTGTGAGATATTCCAATAATAGTTTTCAGTGGCATTATTCATTATTATTGCTTTATATGATGAATATGGGATATGTGATAGTTTAAACACAGCACTGAATCATTTTCACTTCTTGTTATCAATATGGAAATTGCTTCGTTTTATCCGCTTATACTTTTTCTCCTTCTTCTTCTTCCTCTCCCGATCGGGTTCGTTTTCGTTCTTGTTTTCGTTTATTTCCCATATGAAGTTCGGTTGATAACTTTGTTTCTTCCTTGTTACTTAGCGTCTTGGCTCCGCTTGTGTTTATGTTCTAAACTTTCTAATTTCAATTTCATTTCCATTAATTTGCTTGTTGATTCTTAACGTATTGCAAGTACAATCGACAGTTCGTGTATGATCGCATATGCAGTTTATTTACAAATTGAATCATTTTCACTGCTTGCACATAAATGTTCTATGTTCTATTCTCTATTTTCTACTTGTTGTTCCATACGATATAATCAATTGTACTTTTTCCACATTAAACACCATTCTGATTTCTCTTGTTTGAATCACTTCCGTTTGCGTGAGTTAAAAGTTGATTGAATGCTAGAGATGTTACACATTACACCAGTTTTATCATAGAATTGGATTATTGTGATATTTTCTGTTAATTAACTGGTTGTATTGAACTGTGCTATAGGCATATTTTGTACTCGATTTTGTATGATTCCGACAGACTTGCTTTGATTTTCAAAATACAGTTTCGGGCTTTGATTTTCCTGTTTAACAGAAACGGGAGAGAAAGAGAGAGAGAGAGAGAGAGAGAGAGAGAGAGAGAGACATTTTATTAATATAAAATTCTGGCTTTGTTTAGATTGTGAATAATGAAAACTGAACAAAATAAATTTAAGCAAAAATGGTACTGAAAGTTCAAATCATCCAAATCCACTTAAGAGGCTTTTTCTATTTCAAAGTTTGGTCAATGGTCATCCATCTAATAACTAGAACATACAATATTACAACAACAAAAAAACTTGGTCTTCAACTATATAATACATGTAAGCGCGTTTCGAAAGTTTTATCGCTTCTGATACCTGCGCAGTTTTCAATCATATTAACATTAATCCGTAGAAACTATTTGCCTAGACGCAATAAATAGCATACAACGTAGTGCAGCTTCAAATTAATCCGTTCAAAATTGAAAGCAGCTTGTGTTTGATAGCATTTTCACGGTTTGAGCTCAGTTTGCTTCCGATTTGCAAAGCGGAAACTGTTCCAAATTTTGCTTCTAACTTGTCAGCTGCTAACGGCTAACACTGACGCCGTTCTATATAAACCACGTTTACATGCTAGTAATGCGTAAGAAATGTTAAATGTTATCTCACGTTATGGTATAATTGCTTTTTATACACTAACGCATGCTACATGCTCGGCACATGGTACGGAATTGATGCATTGCTTCAATTTTGTGCATATTTGCTTCAATGCAACGTAACATGATTTTAATCATCGTCATCTTTTACTATTCAAATGTTCAACCAACGCCAAATATCGACGAATTGTGTTTCTCGTGGGAGCGAATACGAATAACGAAATCGATGTATATTTTGCTGTAGCTTGTTAGAAATATGGTTACGATTGCGGATGCTCGTCGCTTGTTCAACTGTAAACAATAAGGCTGTAATTAACTCGAACGGGCATGAACACTGCACAGTTCCAAATCAATTAAATTTGATTGAATTGCAAATAAATTAACTTATTTTATATCAGCAATAATTATGGTTGGATTTGTTAGTCGAACGAAATAAATTGCTCATTGTACTTATTGTACTCCATAACAGCTAGAACACATCCCCGCTACCTAAAATCAGCTCTCTTAAACACAACACAACACAACACAACCCAACTCAACGCAATCCAACCTAACCTAACAATTGAATATTTGTAAGTTTTGAACACTTGGGTCCTTATTCCATTTCATTTAAAGCACAATGAAAACATCGGCGAATCAGCGAAATTGAAATTTGATGAAAAATGTTGGGATAGAATAAAGTGAATGGAAAGCATTTACATGCACAAAATGGAGTCCTGATTTATGATGCATTTCCCCGCAGTTCGTTGGCCAATTAACTTGAGGACATTAACATACATAATTGAACAATAAGCGCATCGAACGAGCAATATAAAATGCGTATTATCCCAGGCCATCGATCTGTTCAGTTGGTCAGCTAGTTGTCGAAAAATCGCAAACGTACACATTAAAGCGTTCGTTTATTTACGACTATTTGAATAGAAAATTTTGTCTCCGTGGGTATTAAGCATAAATTGTTATAAACAACTTATTGAAGAAGAAGAATAAAAGACTGATGTAAAATGCACGAAAAACTTGAAGTTTTTAGATGCAATCGAATAGTCTATTCTATGCACATGGATTGCACATTACTTTAAGCAACAAATAACAACAACAACAATAACAATACATTGATGACGACAGAGTCGACAACCAACACCACCACCGCCACTACGACCAGAAGAGAATAAATTACGAATACGATAGACATGAATAATCGTCCCGGCTTCGTGGCTATATTAATGTACATAAACTCTTTGGTATTATTTCTTTTTAACTGTGACTTTTTAAAAAAAAAGTTATATGTATATTTTATACTCATTCAATAGTCAATGTTACATACAACGAACGGCATACAAGGTTTAACCTGGTTTGTATACAGCTCGACTGAAATAGGCGCAGGGAAAGACAGCACATCCACAAGCAGAGGTTGCTTTGCTATTTCGCTGGTATAACGACAATTTCAGCACTGAATACAAAACACCATTTATATTTTTAGACGCCATGTATAGCCATGTATTTCTATCTATAGTTGTATTGGATCTTGCATACGGAAATTATTTAGAGGTGAGTGAATTTTAATGTGACTAAAAATGACACAGAATGCAAACATTTTCACTTTAATCTCAATTGCTTTCTGTGTGTCTTCGTGTGTGAAGAATTTATCGAATTTATGTATCTATGAATTTATGTTTTCGATTTATGTACACATGAGATATGTAACATATTTCACATATGACGTTGAAAAACATTTTTGCAAAATGATTTTTAACTTTTCTTATTCAATTTATACATTTGCATCATTTTATTTTGTAACCACATCTGAGCTTATTAACGGAAAAATCCTTTAGAAAGTAAAATATGAAAAATAAACAATCGGTAATTTAGCATTAATAAAGTAACACTCAAGTTGCGCACATCATGATGGTAACAATAAAAGTGCTAATTGCACGTCCTCACTTTAGGAGGACTTTTTCCATGTCCAGAGATAATAACCACCACTGGGTAACGAAAAAATTTCGTTGAAATGCAGAAGAAAATATAATCAAGGAGGAAGTGAAAATAAAGATCTCATCACCTCCAGCGCTAAGGGTAAGTATATAAAGATGAAAAATACCGATAACAACCCATAATGACGGAAGCATATTACATTTCCAATGTGAAATCGGTCTCTTCAGTCATATTCTTTGTCAGCACTAGACACTTTTTGCATATCGCGCTGTTCTCAATTTGGCAAACATGCTGTGACACTCAACTCTAAGACGACATTTTCGAACTTTTATATCATCAAACTGCTTTCAATTCATCGAAAATATTATTTTTAAAGAGAAAAAAGTAGAATTCAAGACATTGAACATAAAATAAACTGATTGCGGATGACAAATCTCCAAAAACACTTGATCGGCACATTGAATGGCACACAAATTTAAAGTTTACATCATTGACATAAACTTGGAATTTGTGCCAATGAAAATGTGTTTTAAATCTCACAAAAGACAGATTATTCCCAGTTTTCAGCATGAAGAAACATCTTAATCACAATTTGAGAAAATCAACGCGCAATATAACGAAGTAAAGTCACAAAATTTTATTCGTTTAAAATTGATTCATAAAACGAATGTAGAGAAGTGGCAAACAAAATCAAAGAAAGGTAGCAGATAAGAATCATCAATGCAAATGAAGAACGAAAAATATAGAAAAGAGATGAAGCTACATCACCGGTGCACTAAAAGCATATATCCAGGGAAATCTCTGCTGAACTCGGAAGTTGGAAAATGGAGAAGGAAAAAATTGGAATGATTTCCATTCACAGCGAATGTTTGATGAATAGCGCACATATCTTCCAGACTAAGCTGGCTATGCTGGACTCACTAAATATATTCACGAAAGTTGGTGCAACGTTCGAAAATGTAGAAACATCACTTTAGCGTGATGAATGAAATTATAATAACATTTCAAATCAAATAATCGAACGCCGTGAATACGCATAAATCTTTTCGGTTAGTTGTACTACGGGAAAATTCAACGTTAAAAATGGTGGTTGCACGTTGTAAACTGTTTGAATAATTATCTATTTGCATTTATAAAATATGTTGGTGTTGTGTATCATTCTAGTTTCATCTTATTCATTTCATAGGTGGAGTACCTAACTGTCGAATTCCTTTTGGGTTTTGATACGATTTTTTTTTATTTCATTCGTTTATGAATATTTGTGGAAATTGGAGCAAATAAATCATACATTTTTAAATCACGCGAAAAACGCATGTTGAAAGTTCACTGTCGATCTAGTTTTTTTTACTCCAGGTAGTTTTTTCATACTCATTGTTCCCTATCCCTCACACTCTTTCCGTTTACTTCGTTTGCACGTACCATCGAATTTGATTTATGTTTCCGTTTCCAAGTCACATTGCTACTGCCATCCAAAAGAGTGAGAAAATAAAGTGGGAGGGATAACTGCGGGAGAAAAAACGAATCAGTTGCTTGTTACAAGTACAATTTCGTCGAGAAATGGAGGAAAATTCGATGAATTTGCTTATTGTGTGTAAAATGCTCGTTTATCGTGGCTTATTTATTGCCGATTGAAAATGTGTTCCTAGATGTGTTCACATTGATGCTGAGCTGTCGATTTTAGGATTATCTATTTTGTCGAATGCTCTGTTTACTTGGCGACACGTCCAAATCGATATAGTAAAATTAATAGATGTTGGCGCGGAGAACACTGTGATAAATTTGTTTTCATCAATTACAATCAAGACAAAAAAGTCACCACTAAACTGCGATTGAATAATAGATAGACTTCGAAAATCATTAAAAGAAGCCGGAATGAAAAACCAACGATAAGAAAATTGCAAACACTCACGAATACACAGTCAAAATTGGAATGAAAAAACAAATAAATTTTTCCACCATGTTTTTTTTTTCATTATTATTTCGTTCACCTTATTCAAATGTATATGTCACTATTGCTTCTATTGACAGTTCACCTCTTAGCTTCGACAGTATTTTATTTTTCTTGAAGAAATATTTGCATATAGATCGAATCGTACGGTGAAGACGAAGCTAAATTACTTGCTGTGGATTTATATGGAGTATATATACTATATAATTATAGCAATCCCCAATGTTAAAAAAGCAGTGATGTCGATAGGAGCCATCTTCAATACGAAATTTAACACTGTTCGTCATTGTACAAAGTTAACATGGAAGTGAAAATTTGATTTATTAAAATTTGAAGTGGTTTCATGCTTTGGAATACAGTGGAACCTCGGAAATTAGGAGGTGTTTGTACTTCGGGTACTTCTAATTTCTGAATTCTTCTAATTTCGGAGGCAAATTGTTTTGCATTAATTTTGCAGTTAAATGAACAAAATGACACTACAGTAACACCAGAACGAAATTCCCAAATAAAAATATAACTTTGAAACATAC